TCTCAAACACACACAAACACACACACACAGACTCTTTCTCTGTCTCTCTCTCTGTCTCTCTGTCTCTCTCTCTCTCTCTCTCTCTCTCCCTCTCTCACCCTCTCTTTCTCTCTCACCCTACCTCTCTCACTCTCCCTCCCTCCCTCCATCTTCCTCTCTCCCACCCCCATCCCTCTCTCTTTATCTCTCACGTACATTCCCCCTCAAGGCACCATCGCCGCTGGACCACAGACAATAACGCTAAGTGTTCGTAATGTGAACGCACCCCGGCCCCGTCCGCCTCCCTGTATCATAGACGTGCGGAATCCCTGGGCTAATGGGGGAATCGCACGGGGGAATTAGCCGTGGACGGAGAGAATCTGGCTGCACAAAGAACATAGACAGATAGACTGACAGAAAGACAGACGAATATAAAGACAGACAGAAAGACAGAGAGACAGACAGGCATACAGACAGACAGACGAAAAGCCCCAGAAAAATAGACGGATAGAAAGACAGACAGGCAGTCAGGCAAACAGGCAAGCAGGCAGGCGGACAGTCAAGACAGACAGACAGACAGACAGACAGACAGACAGACAGACAGACAGACAGACAGACAGACAGACAGACAGGTATATGGTAAGCAACTGTAACATATGGTATTAGAGGAAGCTACAGGGCGACAAGCAGCGACAGATTAAAAAATGTGTCTGTTTGAGAAACGCATTGACAAGACAAGTCCAATTTTGTAGAATGAAGAAAAGCGAGATAGACAGAATCAAAAGAGGGAAAGGAAAGACGCGTGGGACGAACAGTGACACCCTCCAACCACTCACGGGGTAAGAGACCAGCAAGACGTCATGCTGCGGTAGTTTTAAACGTACACTGCATAAACATGTCAAATAAATATCTTTTTTAATGCATGTAGCCTAGGGCGTTGCGTAAGGAGAGAACCCATAAAGACATTTTAAAGAGCACCTCATAGAACTGCCGGGGCTCTGTCTGTCTGTCTGTCTGTCTGTCTGTCTGTCTGTCTGTCTGTCTGTCTGCCTATCTATCTATCTATCTATCTATCTATCTATCTATCTATCTATCTATCTATCTA